TCAGTGAAGTGCATCAGGCAAAGATGACATTTGAAAAAATCATTTTTTATCCAATTAATAATCACAAAATTTAAGACAAAACTTTTTCACAATAAAAATCTCAACTGATAAATTGTACATAAATATAATAATGTTTCATACACAATTAATATAGAAAAATTATAGGAATAATATTGATAATAAAATAATAAAATGTATAAGCATAATAAAATGTAGATAAATCTCCAAAATTGAACTTTGAACCATTCAATTCGGAGGCAAACAAAATCCAGCTCCAGCGTTGCAAAAAAGAGCCCGCGACCTCGACGGTATTGACAGACAACGTAAATTATGCACGAACCGAGTCTTTCGCAATTCGTAGAGAGTTCTAAGCTACATTCGGTTGCTTCGTCGCGTATTTTCACGCGAAAATGCAGCGTGAGATTTGACGCGATTTTGCATTTACACAGAATCAAAAATCGAATTGCGTTTCATCTTAGTATCACGAAGAAATTCGCGGCGATAAATTTAAATCTGAAAGAAATATTTCTTTTTACCTCTCGTATTCATCGTAAGACTTTGGGCGTACCAAAGTGCGATAGAATTTTCCTGACTCGACATATCACGTTGAATGTAAGAAAAAACGAAGGAAACAAGGTGTACCGTTTGAGATCGGCGACGACGAATCGGATGAAACGAAGCGTCGCAAACGCGTTCTCAACACGCATTCTTGAGAGTAAATCACTCTCTGGCGCGAATCCATGGCTATCGCTTGCCAGGACTTTGCATCTCGTTGCACGTTTCTTCGGAAGCGACGGTCTAACTCCGTCTAATTCCGTCGCGAAACGAATACAGCGATAGCCGTAATATGTAATACAACGTTCGATTCATCATCAATGGTGTCAATCAACGATGACGAATACTTATAAGTAACCGACCGCTCGATTAACGTAATTTATCGCTCTTGTACACACATGAAATATATATGATTTAATAAAAAAAAAAAAAAATACAAAGATAGATTATAGAGGTTTGTATCATCCAATGATAGGTACAAATAATCGAATTCGGAGGTTCGACATGACCGTGGGTTGATAAAACCCGATTGTCCGCGCGCGGAGGAAGTTACCACGTGCACGGTTAAATACCGACCGAAGAGTTAACACGCGAAAGCGCGTGACACATTCCGCGTCGCGTGCCGTGTCATGCAAAATAGCATAATTATCGCGAATAAATCGCGCGAAATATCGGCGCGTCCGCGGCTCGCGTCGATTCGAAATTAGTTCCGTCGTTCAAACGTCATTGCGTATCGCGCGATTTTAATCCGGTGTTTCGACGCAAACGAGTGAATTAAATCCGGAACGAGTGAAACTCGATAATCGTTCGGGAAAAAAGTTATTCACGTTCACGCTAATCATATTAAACGCGGTATATAATTTTTGCAAAACACACAACGCGAGTTGTTTCATTAATACTCTTTGCAACCCGGTTTAAAAAAACATGAAACTCCGACAGTAGAAAAACCGATAAGATCAAAAAACAAATCTACTTTATTTAACCGTGATCAAATGAATTGTATTTTCTGTAAAATTGTAAAGTTTGAAATGAAAATTATAAACGTAACGTACACTTTTGCGAATAAAACGATACTTTTTTTCTTGTTCAATTCTCTTTTGCAGATTCTCTTAATCATGTTTTATATAATACGCGCAAATATAATAAGCTAAACGTGCTTGTATATAACATACAGAGTATCCCAAAAAACAATGGATGTTTTTTTTAGTAACAGATTCTCTGATCAATTTGGAGTCGGTTTTTCCTCAGCAAAAATATTGAGAAAAGTTATCCTTTTTTCGCAAGTTTTTCTTCTCTTTTTTTCCATCATATACAAACAATTATAATTAAATCTCAAATTAAAATTCTATTAATATCTCCAAAGTGACCAGAGAATCTGTTATTAAAAAAACAGATGGTTCTAAGACATACATCCTGTGTGTATGACTTTTATTTCTGTCAAACATCACGTATAACGCCGAGGATGTAACAGTTATATTTAGCACCAACAATAAGAAGTTAATAGAATACATGATGAAGAATGAAAGTCTTAGAAGCTAGAATAATGAATAACTTTGAGAGTCCAAAGTTTGTCGGGCAAATCCGAGTTTTTCGTGTATTTATTTTCCACGAAAAAATATTACGAACAGCAATGGTTTTACGGTGTTTCACGTACCGCCCATAGCGAAATATAAGTGGAATGGGGTTATATAGAGACGCAACCGCGTTCGTTTGCCCGCAAAAGCCATTGGACGCCAACGACGCGGAATAAACGCGTGTTGTACGATATATCGGATACTGTTGCGCGGTGTAATCGAATATTATTCATAAAATGTGTGTGTGTGTGTGTGTGTGTGTGTGTGTGTGTGTACGTGGATGCGCGAGCGGAGTACGCCAGGGTTCTATAAACACGGCTAAAAGTTCAGCCCCTCCAACCGGAAGCTGAGAGAGTAACATCCATATAAACATATTTCCGCGATAAATACGCTTTGATTTTCGTGAGAAATTGCGCGGTTCGAAACTAATTGTTCTCTCTCTCTCTCTCTTTCTTTTTTACTATTACAAAAACCTTTAGCGACGAGGAAATTGCATGAGAATTAGCGGCCGCATTCGCGATTGATCCGAACGAGCGAATACCGCTATAATTGCAATGAAACGTATCTCATATTCACTTTATATCATTAAAAATGGAATATGATTGGTGAACCATTATCGAGCCGAATCGAACGGCGTATTGCAAAGGACATTTAAAAAAAAAGTAAATGCGTACGAATGATTAAATAGACGTTGCTATACAATATCGAAGATTAAAGGACTTTACTTAATTAAGTTTCAATGGTGGATTTCTCTTTTCACCTCGCTAAACTGCACGCGATCGCACAGACAGCCGGGTAGTACGAGAGAACTGCTCTCGCATGTACATTCGCAAAGGCGAAGCCAGAAAAAGAGGGACAAAAAACGAGGGAGAGAGGGAGAGGAATGACATGTGATAAAGAAAAGCTTCGTTCATCCCTTCTGATATCGCTTTCTTTCTTTCTCTCCGCGGCTGATAATTCCTCTCACTCCACACAATCGCAATATATATATATAACACCATTCATTTTTTATTTCTCTTTCTATCACGTTAAACGATCCATTTTATGAAGAGTGTAAACTCTAAGCTGTATCTCTCTTTTATTTATACAAATTATAAATTTATATTTCCTGAAATAATTTTCCCTAAATAATTTAGAAGCGCGCTCTCTCTTTTCTTCTTGAATCCTATATGTGTGCATAACATTTCGTTTCGACATATATAGCTATACCCTTTACTCGTACGTACGTATATTCTGCTTATCACTCTCACTCATTTCACCTTCTCCCCTCCGTTTCTTTTTCGCTCTATTCTCCTCTCTTTCTCTCTCTCTCTCTCTCTCTCCCTCTTTTTCTCCATCTCGCTGAAAAGCGAGAGATTGGGTTGTAAATTTAAGAGAGAGAGAATGTCAGCTTACCCGTTCATACTGCCGTCAGCTCCGAGCGTCGATGAGCCGGCGCGTTTCCCAGGTCGGGTGCGAGGTTAGGTCGGCCGCCAGCACGTCGTTGCTCAGCACGTCTGCGTATCAGCGTCACGGAACGTGCCGCGAGAGGACAACAGGTTGCATGTAATATCACTGTCCGCGTCTCCGCCGTCGTCGTCGCGGGCAAGAGAGATACGAACGGACGACGTATCGACGAAGGAACAAACTTACGAGGATAATCGAGCGCGACGATGACGAGCGAGTCGCGAGGAAACCAGAAAACAGCCGTCACGACGCGACACCGTCTCGCTCGTTCCTTCCCCCCTTGCGTCGCTGCTCTCTTACCACACACACTCTCTCTCTCTCTCTCTCTCTCGCACTAACGCGCGCAAATACTAATTCCGCGAATTCCGTCAGACCGTCGCGTGCTTGCACGCGCGAGAAAGGCGCGGCGCGGTACCGCCACTCGCGACGACGAACGATTCCTCGAATCGAACGGAGAGAAGGCAGCAGGGGTTGGGAATACTGCGTGTCCGCGATATACCGAGATGCGGAGGATGCGATAACGGCAAGATGATTATACGGCTCGCGATATCAACGACACCCGGGAGTCGCAGGACGAGGGAGGCCGTGCACCACGATAACATGCGATACGCGTTAATCGCGGAGCCGAGGCGGACACGCGCTGCCGCTCACTTCAACTTGCACCGGCCGCGAGGTGCATCGTCGCGCTCGGTGCGCTAGTCTTTCGCGCGGGGTGCCGCCATCTCGCGGCGTACTCGAAGCGATATTATATTCGCGCACTTCACGCGACATGGCAGAGATAAAATCGAAACGAGAGACGGGAGGATCCAATATAAAGATTGACGCAAACGTTCAAATAAAAAATATGTTCACGATGTTCAGATATTGAAGCGAAATATATGTCAAGTTCCTTGCACTTTGTTTCCACAAATAATATTATATATCTATTCGAGATAAACATATATAAAATTATGCATTTTATGTCATTCTTGAAAAGCAATATTGCCAATTGATTTTTTCTTATAATTATATTTCATATCTTATATCAAATATATATTTAGATAGATTAGTTTTGAGGAAATCTACTTTATCTGGAGCGAAAATTGGAGAATTTGATATAATCGAAAATTGGTAAGATTGCGATAATTAACATCGATGATAGCCCTCCGTAACACACATACACATATATACGAAATAAGAGAATGCAAACAACTTTTACACTGCTTATTAAGGTAAATATAAAATCGGCATACTCGCGATTAAAAAATATTATCAATAATGTACTTTTAAAAAGGCCGGTTCTTGCACGCGGATCTTGCGGGAGTCACGTGACCCGCGAGAATCACGTGACCCGCAAACGCTCTGGGCGCTACCGCACTCTCGCGGGAAATATCGCAACCGAGGTATAACAGTGTGAAATTCAAAACGGTGGAGTTATTAAAACGTCTAAAACTCATCGCACATAGTTAACCGATCATGATCCTTCATATCTATCAACACATTTCCGCTCGGCACTGTCGTGTAATAATCAAACGCATCATTGATATGATGCAGTCCGAAGATCGCCGAGATACGAGGACGAATCGTGCATTCCGAGTGATAGTCCAACAAATGTTGCATAGTCTCCCTGTCGGGAGAGAAACGTCACTTTCCGATTATCGGTTATATGTTATATTTCAATTACGCGCGCGCAAATTTTTTATCTTTGCCATCTGTGAGAATCTTGAAAATCTAAATGCTAACCTGTATACCAGTGTGTCAGCGAGTTTGTAATGTTCCGCGGCGACCGCGAATACTGTGTAATTCGGCGACATGACGTAGAAATCGGGATACCGTTTATTTCGAGCATTCCCGAGAAGAGCGATTAAACCATCGTGCTTCAAGCTGTGAAGAAAAAAGAAATGAAATTATATAATATATAACGCAATATCGAATGCAATGGATTTTTTCGCAGCAGCAACTATTAGAGAAAGTTGCAATTCATTCGTAATTGGTAAATATATATATATACATTTTTTTTGCTATTTTTAACGAAACTCGATGATAAAAGCCTTCAATTTTTATAATCTTGCAATACTATTTTTACCAGGTCATCGATAAAACCAGGGGACAAAAAAGGAACATGCAGTGGTGTCATAACGTAACAACGCGATTACACACCATTTGACGACGCTCCGGAAGTACGGTCCGCCCTCGGTCTCGATCATCACCCGTACTTCTTTTTTTCCGGTGAGTTTTCTTAATTTGTACGGCAAGCACAGTTCATTTCTATCGCACACGACCTCTGCGCCGAGATCGGCGCACAGCTTGGCTCGCCTTACGTCGTTGCATAGAGCTATCGGCTAAGATGAAAGACAAAGACTGGTCCTCAGATATGATGTCAGATGTTCTTAGGTAATTATTCGTGAAACAAGGATTTAAAATTTTCAGAATACATCAGAATTTTTAATACGGTATTCGTAAAATTCCGATATATTAATTTAAAAAAACTTTCTTTTTTATTACATCGATTAAGACCCAGACAGCACTATGACATCCTCGGGAAATCCGAAGGACATCCAGGACGGACATTACGGATATCCTGTGGATATCCTAATTTTATCCCGGGATATACTCAGGATGTCCTGAGGAATAGCAAATAAGCACCTCATGCTATACCTAGAAATATCCTCAGGATATCCCATTTCAAAGTCCTACGGATGTCCATAAGATGTCCGTAAGACATCGTAATTCCTAAAACGTCCACAATGCATTCAAAATTAGTCCAGAATATGTTATCAAGGTACTTTATATGATATTTTAAAGATAACATATTGAATATAATTTATATAAGATATATATATTAATAGAATATAAAATAGAATATTTTAAATATAATATAGAAGTTCATAAATTATTTTCTTTATAAAATTGCGTTCTGTTATTCACTGCCAATATCGAAAATCTAATACTGAAAATAATTCACGTTCTTTGATATTTGAGGCTTTCATGCTGTACATGAATATATTAGGTTTGGCTTCCGGGTTTGAGCCGTTTAATATTTTCTAAACAATTCAATATCTGAATTTCCTATGTTGGGATTGCATCAGAAATTGAACTGATAGAAAATAATTACATTTTTAATTTCCTGCC